AATCAATTATGATGCCTAATTGGTTCTATAATTGTATGTAGCTAGACGAAGTTACAATATTTTAACTTTAAAACTTAAAAAATCAAAACGTAAATATTATACCTACTCACATAAATAGATTCTAATCATTCTTAATGACATTAATGTATTTGGAAAAGTAATTAATTTCAATTTTTCATCTAATTGGGTGGTAAAAACTACAAATTACACCAAAATTAGCTGATGGCCGGGAGTTACTATTTTTAATATTATAAATATCGTATGGCGTTTTTAAGGAAAATGTATGTTCACCATGTAAATGTCGACTACTTCGAAATGTAACAATTAATCTGTAGAAAGTTGAATTTCTAATTTTCACTTTCGCGGTATTTAATATAAATATAATACTGTGTTGTGCATTTAATAATCAGTTACGTGTTTTCTGGAAATTTATAAAATCTTAAGGAATACATGTCTTACAAAGTAAACTTTATAAAAGATATAGTTTTAGGTTCATAATAATAATTATTCGACCGTAAAATCATCTCAATTTTTTAGATACAATATGTAAAGCTCGGTATAAATTTTTAAATTAATTTTTAATTAATGTTATTTACATGATTTTTTCATTTTCAATTAACTTGACAGTTGGTAATTCAAGTGACAAATCAAAATAAACTCAGACAAATCAGAATGTTTTGTACCGTTTACATTCAAAATAATATCTGAAATTACAAATAATATCCAAATCTTAGTTTTTAAGGAATCCAACTCTCACCTCATTAGGATTAAAATATCTCGCTACTAGGCAAGCAATATACTGAACCTAACCTACAATACAAAATGGAAAATTCCCTACATCCAACTGGCAAATACAGTAACTCAATTTTAAAACCAAAGCTACAAATGCACTCCAAACCCATAATACCAACAAATATAAATCTCTTTTAAGACATACTAGTGTTAATCTTAACTTCTATATGATGTTTACACTTGGACATATGCTATCCAAATGTGTGTCTTGCAAATCCATTCCAAATTTGTTGGGACCACACAAGTATTTTCATACTACCACTGGGAAATACTACACCATTGTTTGTATCCAACTCCACTCTTCTCACTTAGTAAAATCAAATCAGTTAACAAATTAGCCACACCAAAAACTATAAAACTTTATTTTACTTAAAATTATAAATTCCCATATAACCGTTTGTATCACAAATTTCATCAAATACACACCCAATAAATCCTACACTCAGACAAAAAAAATATTACATAGACTTACTAGACTCCAGTGGCTAGATTAAAATAATAAAAATATATTATTTTTAAGCATCAAAAAAATTGTTGGTATCTCTATCACTGGATGGATTTTTCTCTCCTCTTTGTACATTTTTACTATATGATTACAAATGTTTAGGGTGACTCACCAAGCCAGCTCATCCCCGTTTTTTAATTTAAATCATCTACTAGTTCTCATTTGAAAAAAAAAACAGGATTTTGGATCTCCAAAGGACACTCCTTAAATGGTACAAAAAGTCTAAGGAATTTAAAAATATAGTCTTTAAGTATACTTAGAAATGCCAAAAATCATATTTTAAATAACTGCATTATTGAAGAAAAAACGGAGTTGAGCATGATTGTTGAATCAAAAATTGTATATTTAACAATTACTCTATTTAATTATTGTTCTAAAGTAAATATTTTAAATACTATTTAATTCAATAAAGAAGAAAAAAGTTGATCAAGTGGGTACCTCTCTGTTGTACAGTAATTGTTGATCAAGGTTGACTGTGATGGATGTGGTGTTATATTTGAATTCAATGATAAATCATTGCATACGAAAAACGATTAGGAGCGGAGATGTTGTGTCATCCTAGCATAATATTTGTATGGATAATCAAATTTTAAAATTTTAAATAAAATTAATGCAAATCAATAATTGGTATATCATAGCTATAAACAACGAAACTTTCAGTACCTTACTTTCAGTAACCTAGATAAAGATAGAGAAACTCGTTGGCAATCTTCTATTTGAATTTTTAATATTAGTTGTGAAAAGAAAAATTTTTATATAGTTCTATTTTATAACTGAAAAATAATCAACAAAAATAAAAATGTCTCAAACCTATAAATAGCTCAAAAAGAGTCAAAAATATTTCAAAAATGCCACAGCAAATGTAAAATGCTAATACGAATATTTGATAAAAATTTTAAGTTACTATAGGTCTTAGTTTTTGAGTTCATTAAAAAAATCAAATTTCAAAAACTAGTCATGCCTAAAAATTAGTTTCAAAATTAATTTTTTTGTTTGTTTAACTTCACTTTCTAAAACTACACGGAATCCTTAATTTTGAACTCTCGAAAGTACCAACTAAATTCACTCTTCAATCAGAAAAAATGCTATTATTGAAAACTGGAACATTTTTACTACCTCAAACGTTGTCAAATGACAAACCGAAAAAATACACACATCATTGTAAATGCAATAAATTCATATTCTAGACAATCTAGACAAAGCTATAAGACGCTATACTAATACACAAAACATAATTGATTAATAAAAACATTAAATAAAATATTTTAAAAAGAAAATTGAAATGTATAACTCAATTTAATTTTAATTTATAACTATATATTCTATTATTGTAAGCTAACAACCTTGTATTTGATTCTACAACAATAAAAAAATATATCATTTTCTACGCGAATCAGAATCTAAAACTCTATTTTAATACTTTAAACTAGAAACTAAAAATAAAAATGTTCTAATGGCTCGTTTCTTCTTTAGTGTTCTGATTTCAATACATTACTCTTAAAACTCTTCATAATTGATTTTTACATTTTGGATTTGAATAAGAATATTATCATGCATTCATGTTGCCTAATGACTTCGCTTAACACAATAAAACTGATATTAAGCCTGCATCCCTTTTACGGAGAACTCATTTTTTTTGAATGGAAGACTCAAATCTAACTTTGTTGTCAGGGATTGTATTTTTCAATAAATAATATAGTTATACAAAAGTAAATATGTACATCCAAAGGTTTGTTTTTAATAATGTAGTGTTTATATTATTATATTAGCTCATGAAAAACAAATAACCAGAATATTGTCCGTTATTGATTGCTTAGGTATGTATTATCTTTTTAAAATATAAATCAATTATAAACTACTGAATCTAAAAAATAGAATAATTCCATCCAGTTTTATTTATTTTTTAAAATTAACAATCTATTATTACTTATGTATAGACTGTGTAGTATAGAAAACGAAATAAATATTTGAATGTCTTCTTCTAGGTTATTTATTGATCATGTAAATTTCAAAAAAAAAAAATATTATTTGAAACTATTAGTAATTTTATCATTTACTTTAATGTATTTATTTATTTATTTTTTGGTAAAATAATGTAGTGTTAATTAGAATTAACATTACTAAACATTTAAATTGTACATTAACGATTTATCTATTCAAATTATTATTTATTTAATAATACACCTATCTTATAATACTTGAATATAATAAGAAGTGTATTTCATTTTTCAAGGGACATCAAAAGAATGTTTTTGACAAAGTCAAAATTATGTAAAACGAAATAGAGCATTAATTTTTAGATTTAAAGAAATCTGAGATCTGTTTTGTTTTTTTTTTGTACCACGCCTCTTTAATATTACCAAGTTTAAAACTTTTACCTTATTTACATTAAAACAATTTCAAACAGGCAATTCATTTTATTATTAGCCACGATATTTTTGACTGGGGATTTGGCCAAACCAAAACTTCATTATTTTGTCATTTTGGTAAACTGCCAAAATCAATTTGTCAAAAAATAATATGCTAATGAATACACCCATAAAGTGTAAATGACATACAATTATAATATCAAGCTTCTTGAACGTACAATTTTTAAACAATAAAATCAGTATTTACGTATTAAATTTAAGTAACAATAATTATTTTAACTATCATTTTGTATGCGGTTGACCAAAAGTAGTAATCTATCTTCTACTATGAAATAATAATGTAATATGAGTCCCACTTATTTATATTTCAAAATACTAATTTTTTTGTAATAATTAATATGTTTCATCATAAAATATTGTTTCTTATACTAAAGAGTATTACACATAATTTCTTAAAATGTCAACTGATTTTTTTTTTTATGTTGTACTTATTATATTTGAGGCAACGCAAAATTATTTTTTAATTTCTATAAATGTCATTTTCACCTTTTGTGTAGTGAAACTTTTGAATGTTAAAAAAAACATTAGTGGGTATAATATAACCTAATATGTAAATTAAATTATTTAATATTACATCATATCTTCATAAATAATATTTTTTACAAGTTGACTTGGTTCATATTATTCCTTACAAGGCAATTGTTAGTAGTTACTAATATTTCAATTTTTAAAGATATCATATTGTTAAATTAATATTGTTTTATTTTAAAACTAAGAAGCTCTATTAAAAAATGATTATTTTTTTTCAGAATAAACTACAAAAATTTAACTATCTATGTTAAGTAGAAACAAAACGCATATATGGATTCTATTGTGAAAAAATAATAGTATATTTTTTGTCAAATAGGTACATTTAAGAAATAACTTTCTATAATATTAACACTCAATTTAAAATTCATCTGTTTTTAATTTGTATGAATAATTAAAACAAACGCATGGTTTAAGTTCTTTAACATTTTTTCTTCTACGATATATATTACAAAAAAAGGATACTTAAAATTGTTCAATGTTTCTATTGAAAATTTAATAATAAATTGTAAATAGTCTTTTGAAGATAAACAAATAAGTGAGGTTATAAAATAATGTAAATGTAGTATTTTATATCTTATTAAGTATTATAGTATATACTTCCATTGTATTAATTTAATTAAAAAATGTTTTAAACAGAACAAAAATAATTGAGTATTTGGCATTTGTGTTTTTTATTTAAAATAGACATGGCAACATTGGATTTTTGTGTTATGTGAATCGGTAGTCGGTAGGCAAGTACTTACATATAAAATTAATACATACAGCTCATAGAGTACCCATTAAATCCCTCCATGTGGTAGTAGAGTTTACTGCTTGAGATAATATATCAACCGCTGTACCTACATATATATTATAGTGTGTGTTTCGTCCATTGAAAGTTAATCCACTGAAGCAACCAGTATTTTATTTCAACACGGGTCATGGTAAATAATTACTATTGCAAAGTAAGTAATAATGGAAAAATATATTTAAAAAAAAATCTGAGATGGATGAAAAACTCGCGGTTTGGTCGTTTTGAGTAGAATTAATAAGGTAGGTACACATATTCGGCCGTGAGGGTCATTCGAGAACTGACTAAGTGTTCATTATAACGAATGGGTTTTGTAGACGGACGTTCGTGTTTGGGCACCGCACATACTCGAACAAAAGGACGTCTTTGTTTCTCTCAAAACTTGGCATACATTAAGATTATTAATCCGTCAACTTGGATACAACTGACGGGTCTGGATGATAGGTACCAACCAACTATTATTGTTGTTTGCCTGCACAAAGACGAGATCACTCAAAGAAATTGATATGCAGTGGTAAGAGTGAAAACGTTTATCAATCGCGGTATAGTTTTAATCTTTGAAGTTAATACGAAACATATTGTAAATAATGATGTCGGATCGGTGTTTTGAATCCCTTTAAAATATATGGGGTATGAACATATTTTAAATCAATAATAATATAATTTTTTTTTTAACAAGTTAGTTCGAAAATTGTTAATACGTTTTTAATTAGAAGAATTAAGCAATATAATTGTTGCTCCATCACAAATAATGCGTTGTACAGTATAGTTTCCACTTTTATTTCCATGCAGAATAATTGTACATTGCATATATATGTAAAGTATCCAATACTAATTGTTAGATATGAAAATTGAAAATGTATTACATTTTTAAATACAAAATAATTTGCAAACTTTTGCAATTTCAACAATTGTTGCCAAAATTGAAACTTCAAACTTTCATAAAAAATGATTGTAGATTTATGCCCACTTGTTTTATTTTAATTCCAATACTTAACTAACTTACATATTAGAAAGGAATCTATCTTAAATTTTTTTTTATGATTTTCAACTGATCCTATTTTTTTTCGATGAATGTAAAAAACATAAAAAATCGAACATTTTTAAATGTCAATAAATAGCTCAAAAAGAGTCTAAGTATTTAAAAACTATGCCTATTATTTTAGCTACAATTTTAAGTATATGTGGTTATTTGTTTTTAAAATAAAATAAAATAATTAAACCGATAGGCTGTTTTGCGTAAAAATTCCAGTTTTTTTCTAATTATGAATGAAAGACCTGTACATTTTTTATCTTGACACCATAAAATATGTACTTATTGGATTCACTTTAAAGACAGGAAACATCTTGAGTTTTAAGCATTTTTTACTGCTCTAAAAGGTAGTGACAGACAAAAAAAAATTAATATACATACAACATAATTGTAAAATGAATATATCGATTTCATGGCTCGACTCAAACTTTGAAATGGGAATGTGCTGATCGATTTTTTAAACCTTAACGTAATATTATAAGATGTGGCAAAAATCCACTTCTGGTGTCCATTAGTTTTAATAGTGCAAACAAATTAAGAAAAAAACAACTCTGTCCCTTTGTAGCCCAAAAAATATTAGTTTGGACTAACATGCTTTCGAATCATCACTCTGTATAATATGTGTTATGCAAGGCACAGACACAACTAGGAGGTAGAACCTATGTATTCTTTTAAATATTAGCTCATTTTACTATTTTACTTTTCAGCAGACACAAAATATACAAAAATATTATCTATACAGGTATAAAACGACCTATTATGATTTTGCAGATATTATAATATTTCTAGAGATTTTAAGCAAATCAAAATTACATTAATAACAAAATACATTCGAGTGTTTTAACTACTGAGTTCCTCACTTTAAGCATTTAATCACCAAGTGTGGAGCTACAAATTTTAAATATTTAAATCGACTTGCCTGGTACAAACCATTAGTTTGGCGTGTTGTACAATATAATGTCGAGTTATCTATACATATATTGAGTACATACACAAAAGGGTTTATTAAAGCAAAAATGTTCATTGTGATTCTTTAAAGGGTTTTGAATAACTTTCACCAACTAATGGAGAGGCTATAAATGTATACTTTCTATGTTTTAAGAACCCCTATTGTATTAGCTGACGTGAATTATCGAGTTTTTTTAATTGAACCGTTGCAAAACGGAATATTATACTATAAACTTGGCAAAGAATTCAATATAATATCAATAACGATAAGATTAATATAATTATAGTAAACACTTAGCAAAATAATAAACAACCTTTTACGACCCTGACGATTTTACGAAATCATATAGTTTTTAAGAAATAGGTATCCTAAATAAGCATTGTATAGTTTTTGGTGATGATTATATATTTTGAATAAGTTGGACAGTAAAATTGTGTTATTGAGTAAGTATTTAATATTTTGATTTTTGACGCAATATGTTGTAAACACTTTCTCGCAATGTGTGTCGCACCAAAGACTAAGAAGAAGGGTGGTAAATATGTGGTTTAACCTTCTTATTTCTCATTTTCTCAGAACTTTAAAATTATATTGTAAATGCACTTGGCAACATTTCTTTGTTGAATTATAAAACGACATGTTCAATGCCAATACAATTATTAATAAACTAACTTATGAATTATTCATAACGCGGAAATCTAGATTTTACTTATTGCCTACTGAAGCTATGATTTAGCTATAATTATCCCCTTTAGCCGTTTGCTATAATTAGACATTTTTTATTTATTTTCTGGTATATGATATCTTTTACATCTGAAATATTTGTACAAAAATGACAATTTTTTTAAAATTTAAATAATTTTGTTAAGAATACAGTAATAGTGAATCAGAATTCAAGTATATTTTCAATGAAGTTCTAGTGGTTAGTTCAATGGTATAATATGCAAACATATTCACTAGAGCCAAATTTTCAGTTTTACTCCCATTTATAGATTATATTATTATCAAATAAATTTAAATTCAACTTTTAAAACATAAAATGGTTTTGTCAAGTTTTTAATTTTGTTTACAAAAAAAAAAATAATAAAATAGTTTCGGTTTAGTCAGCAATTCGAAACAGGCCATAAATATTTAGTTGAAGGATATGAAATTATAATTAACGATAACTAGAAAGTAGAAATGTTCTGGGTACCCGGCAATTACTCGATGCCCGAGTACTCGGTATCCTATTTAAGACTCAGCTTTTACATACTCCCCGTCGTAATACCTACAATTTTACCCGACTCTTACTCGGTACTCGGCGTAATACCTAAATTTGTACACGACTGTAATACTACATTTTCACTCAACTCCTCTTATAGTCTTATCTAGTAACTGGCAAACGCTAATAACCTGTATTCTGTACGACTGTACACAAATAATATATATTATGCGCATCTTTAATTAATATAATGGAAAAAATCTAAAGTTATCAACTATAATTTATTTTGGTACATTTTGGAATAACTGAACCAATTTACAATAGCCAGATTATTTAGCTTGTTATTTCATTATCTTAACTTTAGTAACATAGTTTCTTCTATAGTTTATTTATAATATGACAATCCAAGTAATATTAAATATTATTGCTACACTTATTATTATTATTTTATTTTATCATCGGGTTAATAAGGCTTTAAAAACTGAGGTCATTAGCCTAAAATTTAAGAAAAAATTAAAATTACATTGCTTTACAATAATCTTAATTTTATAGGGGGTACATCATGTTGAACATTTCGAGGAAATTGATTATAGTATCATTTTTCACTAGTCCTATGATTACATGCATTAAATCCTAACTAGTCAGTCCATAGTATTTACTCTATGAACTCAACATGTTATTATTATAACCATAATCGTGTAATGTTTATATTACAATTATTCCTCGAGAAGTAGAGTGACCCATTTTATTGAGTGGAACGTGTAGGCTAATGTGATATAGTTGTCGTCCAACTGACACACACACACACACACACACACACACACACACACACACACGCACACACACACACACACACACACACACACACACACACACACACACACACACACAAACACACACACACACACACTATTATTTATGATTATTATAATAAATGATGATTAAAACTTCAGATTAAATATAAAAGCTTTGAATAATGATTACTATTTACTATAAATAAGCATTTAGCTTAAGAGAATGCAGAAGTGTAATCTGTCTCATAATAGGTATCCATAGCTTAATGTTAACTAGGACACACACTATTATTGCAATGGGCTCCAATTTTTCCATAATAAATGGCAATATATAGTTAAAGTGAATCCTCGAAGAAGCTCAAATAAAATCTATGGTTTTGAATTAAAAAATACAAAATTGATGGTTGTTAGAACATATATATATATTTGTCTCGTTTTAAGTACAAACAACTGTATGAATAGATACGTATTCAATGGAATGATTATATTAAGGATTACTATTTTCACCTAGTTGCTAAGATTGAATATATTATGCATAATAAATAAGAATGTACATCATTAGTCAAAGTATTACTTTTAAAAAAAAACAGGTAAATCAAACTCGATAAACTTATTTACTTCATTTTTCTGTATACACATAATATAAACACTTAAACAAGTTGGGATAGGCATGTCCACTTTCTTGATTTTTAATTTTTGGAGAATTATTAACTGTATTCTATACACGTTTTATTTTAATTGGATTAAAACAATTTTTACTTAAGACACTGTTAAAAATGAAAAATTATCTGAACCAAAACGCATTTTTTATTTAAGTATACCAAATTGTAGTAGTCTGTCTCTAAAATTTAATGTTTTCCACTCTTTACTTTAGTACTCTTCAATTATTCTTATGAAACTCACCTCGTACTTGTACTTGTTAGCCTTCTTAAAATTGTAAACGAATTTTTGACTTTGGTACTTATCTACACGTGCGCTTGTGTGTGTTCTTGCTTCAGTGTGTTCATGATGTCCAACTTTAAAGGTCTGTTGTAGCGAATGAACTATTAAAGATAAAGGTCTGCAACTTTTCACTGGACTCCAAGCTAATGTGATTCTAACAAGACCCTAAACAACAAAATCTATTTTCCAGTTTTAGAGATCTGCGTTGCTAAAGAAATATCCATCTAAAATTGACTATTTTTTAACGATTAAAAAGTTAATTCGTTTTTGAATTTCACATTTCGTGTTTTTTTGAAAAGCTTTTTATAATGAGCTATCGACCAAATTTTTAGTTTTCGTAGTTTTTTGATAAAAAAAAAAAACAACAACAAATTGAGCATTCTAAGCTGAACACGCTGACGTTTTTAAAATTATTATACCACTTGGTCATGATATCGGATCTACCTCATAAGTATCTTATTAAATATAATTTAATTGCCCACCTACTTATTATTACTAAAT